ATACAAGTTTTCTCAAATTTGTTAATGCACGGCGTCAACACGGACAAAGGTGGTTTGACCAAGGGAGTCAGTATCGTATCGTATCAATCGGTACAGTCAACACAAATTGATTTTTAGGATCAATCGAAACAGAATAAGTTAAAATTTTATTTTAGTTAAAATTTGATAATTTTGATCAAATTTTGACATATTAGTCGAAATTTTGTGTACCGATTGATACACCAAAATTTAACAGATACATTATGCAAGAATTAAAAAAAAAAAAAAGATTCCCTAACCAAAACGATGTTGTTTTGGCTAGGGGGAGCTTCTTATTGACTTGAACCCTGCAATTTTAAATCGCGCAAATCTCTCTTCTATTCTCGCATCCAGTTGTCCTTAACATTCTTCCATTTTTGGTACAATTCAATTCAAATTTTAAAAAGGTAAATTTTATTTTTGATTCTCAACTTTAATGTTTTACATAATTTTCATCCTTTAACTTTTTTATATACTTTTTTAGTATATTCTTCATATTTTTTTAGTCATTCTATCAATTACTCTGTTAAGTTTATCTAAATACACACTTTTTTAATCCCTTAATTTAAAATGGATGGACAAAAAATATGCATATATTAAAAGTTGAGGGATTAAAAATAATAATTTTAAATTTTTTTTTAATTTATAAGAATATAATAATTTTAAATAATAATATTTCTTATTTTATTTTAAAATTTGATATTTAATTTATAAAAATATATATTTATAACGATAAATTCGAAACGATATACAAAAAATTTCGACATATAATACGTATCATTTCAGTAACAAAATTGATACGTATACTGATACGGTATTAATTTCCTTGGGTTTGACACCCAACCTGTGCCTGCCGGGGGTTTTTATAGAGTTTAGGAAAAATTAATTAAAATTAGTGTATAAAAAATTGATAAACAAATTCTAAAAACAATTGAAGTAGTGGGAAAAATCCCTCTAAAATAACTTATTGATAATTAAAATAATTTTAAATAATAATATTTCTTATTTTATTTTAAAATTTGATATTTAATTTATAAAAATATATATTGATAACGATAAATTCGAAACAGTACGTAAAAAATTTCAATATTCGATACATACCGTTTCAATAACAAAATCAATACACATACCGATACGGTATTGATTTCTTTGGGTCTAACACCCAACCTATGCCTGCCAGGGGTTTCTATAGAGTTTAGGAAAAATTAATTAAAATTAGTGTATAAAAAATTGATAAACAAATTCTAAAAACAATTGAAATAGTGGGAAAAATCCCTCTAAAATACCTTATTGATAATTAAAATAATTTTAAATTCTTTGTTTTTTATTTTTGTTTTCAGATTGGTGTAAAAATATAATTATTTTAATTATCAATAAGCTATTTTAAAGAGATTATTCCCATTACTTTAATCTTTTTTAGGATTTATTTGTTAATTTTTTATGTACTAATTTTAATTAATTTTTCCTACAAAGAAAAAGAAAGCTTAAATCTCTATTTTGCTCTTTTTATTTTGATAAAAAGCTATTTTTTAATTTTTTTACTTAAAAAAGTTTATTTTTGGTCATTAAAATTTGAAATCCGACATCTTTTTAATTATTTCGTTAAATTTTGCATATATAGTACATTAAATGACAAAAATTTCAAAGTAAAAAAACCAAAAAGAATTTAAAAAAGCTCCAATTTGATCCTTTACTTTAGAAAAAAGCCCTTTTTAGTTTTTTTTTTTTATTTCTATCATTTAACTCAAAACTTAATGAATAAACTAAAAAATGGTCAGATTTCAAACTTTTGATACTAATAAGAAACTTTTTTAAATAGAGAAATTAAAAAGAAATTGTTATCAAAATCAAGAGATCAAATTAAGGTTTTAACCAAAAAAAACCCCGAAAGAGAACCCAAACTCTAACATTGAACTTTCACTAGCCAATTTAATCTCTTTTGGGGTTTTTTTTTTTGTTAAAACCTTAATTTGATCTCTCTATTTTGATAAGAATTTCTTTTTAATTTTCCTATTTAAAGGATCTCTCTATTTTGACCCATTTAATGAGTAAGAAAAATCATGCACCGGTGGTAATTAGGCAAAGAAAAATGGTGCATGAGTGGTTGGATTTTTTATTATAAATACCCATGCATGCAAAGGCAATGGACAAGCAAGAGTGAGAGCAAGCTTGAGAAGTGAGAAGAGCTAAGTGAGTGGGAGCTCTTCTGAAAGAAAAGAAAGAGAGAAATTGTGAGAAAATTCTTATGTAAATTAAGAGAAAATATTAAGAAGAATTTGAGAATTTCTATACATTGAAGTTAAGGTGTTGAGAGTTTTTAGAGTGAGAGAGTTTTTAAATTATTGTACTTTTTTTCTTAATAATAGATTTATTTTTCTTTTTCCCGTGAACATAAACTTATTGAAAGGTATACAAATTGAATCAGTTAAATTATTGTCTCAATTTCTTTATCGCCTCAATTTCTTTATTGCTTTTGTTTGCATGGATTGTAGTACTCGAACTTCCCAACAATAGTGAATGGAGACGTTTATATTAATAAATGAAATGAAGTT